CAGCCCCCCTGAAGTGCGCGAGGGGTTGCGAAAGAAGGCTTAAAGGGTCGGGGGGGTAGCGCAGCCTTCAACGTAGGGTGGAGGAAAACGTTGTCGGGTGAACGAGCCGTTACGCCGACTGCGGCGAGACCCAACAGAACATCCGTTTTCCTCCCGTGTATTCCAGGTGAAAGACGAGTTCTTGGAGAGTGGCGTTAAATCTGAGGCTGTCCGAATGCCAGCTCCCACCCTGCAGCCTGCTCAGCTCAGTAAGTAACCTTAACTGGGAACTTGCTGTTACCTTAAATAAGAACTCTCGTTGCCTCGTGCTGTAAGGTGAGAAATCCTTCTGGAAGAGGAGGACGACAGTGACGCTTGGAGCTTGCTGGTATTGCAGGGAGCACAAAACAGACTGAAACAGAGCAAAAGCCCACAGGAGCCTTCAGACTCAAATTCTGCCGAGGGACAGTCCCACTGGAGAAAGTGACAAAGTCCTGGTAGTAAGAAGAGCTTTTCTGAATTGTATCGTCTCTAAAAGCCGGTCCCTCTCGTATCTACTCTCCGCTTCCTCATCCCTTTAAGCTTCTGTGTTATTCAGTGGTCTTTACTTCATCTGTTTTTCTCTCTGCCTTGTGTGCCCCGTCACAGCAGTCGTGCTGCTGGAAGAAGACCTGGAGAAGGATGCACTAAAGTGTCATACATCAAAGAAGAAAAGCTTGGATCCTGTCTTGGTGGCTGCTGTACCGCACGGTGCTGGAGAGGAGGAGAACTAGAGTGAATTTGCTGCTGTTCCCAGTTCCTGCAGTGTTCCCTGCTAGCTCAGTGGTTGGTGTCCTCCATTCCTGGACTTTGCTTGATGGGGATCTCTGCTGCAGGAGCAGTCTCTGCACTCAAAGGCAGGCGAGCAGGGATAGGAGAGGTCGCCTCTAGATGCCAGAAAGGCCATTTGTATAAGCTCCTGGCAGAAGACCTCTTCTGGAACAGCTGCTGGCTGTAGGCCTGCCAAGCCGAAGGTCAGGATAGCCTCTCTGCAAGCATGTCTTCCAAGCCAGAGCAGAAGGAGACCCAGCAGGCCAATGGGGCTGTGCTGCCCATTGTGCCCATGGACTGTCTCACCAGTCCAGACAGGGGTCAGCTGGTGGAGCCCTCAGATTTCCTGGGATCCGATGGTGACGGGCTAGAAGTGGTGGTGTTGGAGTCCCGTGCCAATGCTAAAGGGGTGCGAGAAGAAGACGCCCTGCTGGAAAATGGCAGCCAGAGCAATGAAAGTGATGACACCAGCACAGACCGAGGTCCTGAGCCAGCCTCGCCCCTCAAGGAGACCTCCTTTTCCATCGGGCTGCAAGTCCTCTTTCCGTTCCTCCTGGCAGGCTTTGGGACAGTTGCTGCTGGAATGGTGCTGGACATTGTGCAGGTAGGACTGATACTTCCCTGGTATGGCACTGGGCTCTGAATCCTGTCTCTGTAGACCGTGGCTTGATCCCAAGCTGGGAGGGACTTGAATGCCAAGGCTCGTTCAGCAGATAGCAACTGTGAGGGGAGGAGACCTGTTACCTCGCAGGCTGGTTGGGGTAGGGGGAGACAGGGGGAGACCTCGGTGATGTCTGGAGTGAGGGGAGGAGAGGCTGCGGGCACCCCTGCACTGCAGCTGCCCTGCTCCGGCTCAGAGGGGAGGAGGTTGCAGCTGGCACGTGTGCATCCAAAGCACCTGCCTGGGAACTGAGACCACTCTGTGCATTACGGCTTGAAATAAAGCGCTTTTCTGATGGTGGCTGTAAACATCCCAACTCCAGTCGCTAGTTCCACAGGTCCTGTGTCCCTTTTCCATCTTCAATGTTTGCTGCGCTGTTCCAGCACACCAGGCTCGTGCCAGCCAGGTTAATGATTTGCCTGTCGTAGTGTGTGCGGGACGCTTGCATGGTGGCTCGCTCCGCAGGTCGAAGGCTGGCTGAGTGGCCCTTATGCTGCCTTCTACGCTCTTGAAGCGGCCAGGGTCAGCTGGGCTGATACCTCCTGAGAGGTGTGTGGAGGTGATGCTTAGGAGAGGCCAGTCAGAGAGCTGGCTGTTACCTCTGGACAAAAACTGATGTGTTACCAGACGTGATCTCTCGTTAGGTCTCTCGTGACAGGCGACACTGTGGGAACCCGACAGTTGCGCAGCTTGCTTAGGTTTTATGTGGCAAATGTGACTTCACGGACCGTGGCTCCTGCACCGGTCCCTCTAGTACGAGTTTTCCAAGCGTGTGTCTCTGGCAGCGGATCAGCTGCTTAATCTCTTCTCCTTTGCTCTGAAAGACAGGCTGTGCAGAGTTGTCTTGATGCCCAGCCCAAACTGGTGAGTAAGGCACAAAACTCAATCATCCGTGCAGTGTAGGTTTATGAAAATATTTGGATGGAGGAGGCAGCCATTTTGGAACTGTGGTCAACCAAAAATGCTCTGCTTGAAGCCCCTCTGTTTGTTTAAGTGGGGTAAACAAGCCCTTGCAGTGTTGGCATAGAAAGACTTGAATGTCAGTCACTTGTCTGTATTGCTGGCAGCTACAATCATCTCCACCCGAGCTGTGTGCCAGTAAGGTAAGTCAGGCTTTTTTTGTATTTGTGGGTGGTCAAACAGACACTTCTCTTGCTTTCTTGCTCCTAATGGGTATTTCCCTGCAAGCCTTTGCACACTGGTCATCCTTACAGTTTCTCTTGATGCAACCTCTTGAGAGAGATGTGAAGTGACTCAAATCAGGAAAGGCTGGCTGTGCTAAATTAATCAGGAGAGATTTACCAGAATAATTTTCTTAAAAAGAAAGACATTTCAAGTATGTTTCCTTCTGCAAGGTCCCTGTAAACTCATGCGTGGTTCTTCTGGCAATTTCCCAGAGCCAGTGATTTGAACCCAGCCTAAAGCCTTTCCTGGAGAAGGAACAGCCCTTCTGGCCAGGCAGGAGCAGGGCAGGGGTGGGATACTGCGGCATACTGCTGTGTTCTCCTGCCTTTTTTTTTTATGGCCATCAGAAATAAAGCTTCGTAATTCCTCTGTCCCACAGCAGCTCAGCATGTGGCTATGCAGCTTGTCCTGCCAACTCCTCTAGCTCCCTTTAGCTTTGGGATTAAATGAGGCATCTGAATGCCATAGGGCGGAAAAGGGAGGTGGGAAGCGTGTGGTCTCAGCTTGCTTGTCTGCAGAGTCTGGGGAGCTGATCTTGATAGCTGGCTTCCCAGAGACTCAAACCCTTGGATGAAAGGAGGGAAGCATGTGGAGTGGGTAACTGGTGCACTGGAGCGGACTGGAGCCCCATTGCTTTGGATGCAGCCATGGTCTGTGATGGATGGAGGGCTCCATACGCTCAATTTCCTCCGTTTTGGATAAACGGACTAATCAGCCAGCTGTAATTGGTCTCCCCACTGTGAAAACAAGCAGCCCTGGCCTTTGGCTGTGCTGTCCCATTAATGTGTCCCTGTGAATTTGCCTCTGCTCCCTTTGAGATTGGAGAGACCTTTGGGCCAGGTGACTTGTGAGCCTACCAACTGCTTTTTTGTGTACAGTAGAGGACTATTGGTGCAGTCCCCTCTCCCAGCAGAACCCCGATTGTTGCTTTCCAGACTTGTCTGCTCCCTGGAGATTCTTTGGATGGGGTAGACAGTATTTCATACAGAGGAGGGAGTCTGCTCATTTCCACTGCTTGACCACCTCTGGTGTCAGCATCCTTCTGGGGTGGGTCTTAGCCGGGGCCAGCGGGGAGTGCCAGCCCCGGAGCTGTAGCTCTCCTGTTAAGGCTGCTTGTTCCTTGATATTTCGGAGGGAGAGCGCTGGGAGAAGCGTGCTATGTGAAGCAGCCGCACCAAGGCAGTCATAGCTCCAACCTGCAGCACATCCCTCCCCTCTGAGCTGTCGTGAATCACCATCCCGGTATAATCTCAGCGAAACCACGCTGTTACTCATGACTCTTGTAAGCCTTAACTTTGCACGTGGTGACTAAAAATGACAGAGGCTGAGAAGCAGCTGTTACCCTGGAAATATCTGTTGTCTGCACGTGCAAAGCTTCTGAAAGGCAGCGAGCCTGCAGGAAACTGCAAAACGCCACCTGGGGTTTGATGTTTCTTCCAGAACCACTGGCAGGCCGGGGTCCGATCTCGCCCCTCCAGTGCTGCGCGGGAGAGACCGAGGTCTGGTGGCTCTGGTATCTGGGTAGATTTGTGTAGGAAGGGACCACAGGCTTAGTAGAAAATGAAGCTGAAATAAGTTAAACCTAGATTGCTTACACTCTCTGTGCTCCCCCTCCCCAGAGGGCAGGGAGGAGGCGCTGGAGATGAAGTGTTTCTCCCTGTAATTCTCTTACACAGCTCTGCTGAAAGCCAGCCGGGAGCCCCCTTGCTCCCCAGTGCGGTGTGTTCACTTTTGCATGGAGCAGACTGGGCAGTCTTGGAGGATCTTGTGTGCTGTGTTAGCCTCCCGCCTTGTCCCTGAAAACAGCTTATTTCTGTGCTTCTCAGAGGGGCTGTTACAGGCGGGAAAGGGATTTTTACCAGCGCGATGTCTTGAACTTAAATTCATATTTCCT